ACATTGGTGTGTTTACAGCATTCTATTACTGCAACAAAGCTAATTACCATTAATCACACATCTACCTTCTAATGCTGTTTCACAGCTTCCTGGGATTAATTTTGCAGAGGTCATCATATTATTTCCAAGGAAATGCTCCCCCCTATGAACACCAACAAAAATAATTTGAAGCAGCTAAAGAAGCAGAATTACTCCTTAACTTTCAGGATGCACTCAAATGTCCATTCTCAAGAGAGTCTTCTGCACAGCATATACTTTTCCTTCCTGCACTAACTCAATATTGTTTATCAATGTAAGATACAAATTTGAGGTCACCTGGCTCTTAGACATATGAATAAAATTAAATTGGTTACAATTCCTTGATTATTCAGGCCCTCAGCTAGCTCCTGTTACTTTCTGTGGGTGCACACCACTTTTAAAAATGTAAAGCTGAAAGAGCAACAACACATTTTTAATGGCTGCAAACAAAATATCCCTTTAATAACCCCTTAAATATGTTCTTAAATAGATGTTCTTCATATGTTATCACACCAATGTCCAGATGATGATTTTAAAAGATAGTTTTACAGACATGTCTGTGTGAGAATGTACCAAGGTGCTCTTAACCCAGAAAATTATATTTCCTTAGAAACAGCTTCTTCTAAATAAGATGTATTTACCTATCAAGATGTATGTTAACTATTTGTTCATTTTAGTTACGTACTGTCCTAACTACCTAAAATTATACTGAAGTATTCAGTGTGAGTAGGAACGACTGATACAAGTTACCAGAAAAATAAGGTAGCCTTTTTTGATTCTCCATCTGAAGAAAACATTACATAAAACCAGTGTATTCCATTGTTGGCTTAAAGGACCCACTTCCTTTTCAACTTATCTACAGAAAATCTTAAGTCTTTGCTAATTCACCAGGTTTTGTATCTAAATCTTCAATTCAACTGATACAGGTGTAAGAAACACATACATATCTTGCATGCTTGCTGGACATCTCCCTTACGTTCAAGGGCATCTTTCCATGTAAGACTGGTTCCTATTCATGCTAATTCAAATGGCTTACCCTCCACCTGTTTCCTTTGGTAATGCAGAGAGTTAAAAAAAGGACACTTGGGCAACTCTCTTTACTGACACATCTGCTATCTCAAACATAAAAAACACCCACCCCTTAAAAAAAAAAAGTTTTGCACATGACACCACGGTAGCACATATACCATAAAACAGCAAATACTGTCACACACCTCCAGTACTCCATTTGGCCAAGGTATATACATGCACAGGCACAGCCAGCATGACACTGCCACATTATCTTCTTAAATACTCAAGGAATTTCCCACTGAGAAGATGCGTAATACGAACACATACAGCCTCAAAGCAGAGGGTATCCAGGATTGAAGGTTTATGGCTACAATCTTTCATACAGGCTTAAATGCTGCTTCCTAAGACCATACAAAATTTCCATGAACGACAAGCAAAACGACATATGGTAAGAACTAGAGGACATGGCTCTTGCTACTTAACAATAAACATGTACATATATGCCTAAAATGCATGCAAGCATGCAGAACACTGTACATTTTGTTTGGCATATACCAATATAAATCATTAAAACACTTTTTTTCTTTTCCCAGTTTAAAAACAATGCAAGTGTTTTTACAGCTAACAGCAAACAATGGGTGGATATTAACAACCATAAACTCTGGAGAACAATCATAGGGTTTTTACAAATTGTTCAGCCATAACGAAATCCATAAGAGTTTGGCAAACACATGAGATTAAAACCAAATTCAGTGAAAGACTGCACTTGTTTCAGAGCACCTTAAAACATTACAGCCAAGTTGTGCTAGCCAAACTACTACTATGTAATATGCTTCAGTGCATATTGCTGGAGTCTAGCTTTGTAGACTTACAATAGTTAAAAAAATACTTTGTCCTGCTGTAATCTGTTCCAAAAAATTAAGCAATGATGTACAAAAACTACCTAAAAGTGGCATTTTAATGTTTAATCATAGAGAAAGTCTACTTTAATACTTAAAAATAATCTTTGCATGCAGTAGAAAAGTTTTCCATAAATGACCTCACATTTTGAACAATCTCATCCCATGAAAAGTAAAAAATCAACATTAATACAAAATTAGGGTGCACCAAGCAGGGTGTGTCTCATAGTTACAGGAGAAAACTAACCCACTTAGCAAGAAAGCACTCTATCTTCCACAGGTTAAGGAAGAAAAAAAACCTCATGATGCACTTTTTTTCTTTTGTATTTGCTACATTTGTGCATTTGTATGCACACACATCTAATTTCTAAACAAATATAAGAAAACAATCTGGCACAGAAAAGCTTCTTTGTGCCTTAAAACTTTGAGTTATTACCTTTTACTCTGTACTTGCAACAAGAACATGCATGGTTCAATTAACATAGCTCAGCTTAAACTGTACTAGTACTTTTTTTATGAGCCTCAGTGTCATAGTCAAAAGCCTTTAACCCACTTAGGCTTTTAAGTCCTACAATACTTTTACGAAGTGGGAGTGAGAAGCTGGCACTTCAGGGAGGAAAAAAAAACAAAACCACAAACAAACCCACAAACTAAAACCACGTTCACCTACACTTACATACAGTAAAATTAAGTAACACCAGTAATTTAAGTTTGAGGTGGAAACATGGGACAGTAGAGGCCTATTTGATTTAAAAAATTAAAAAAAAAACAACTTCAAACAATTTCAGGATATTTTCATGCTACCAGCCTCACTGTTTCTAATGACTACTTGCATATTTTAAAATGGTTCTGTCTCATAACCATGTGAATGATCCACACAAACAAGACAAACTTAACTGTCAAGCAACTGCCTATGCTGGGGCAGCAGCGAGAGTGACTGAAAAAAAAAAAAGAAAACGCTGACAGATACTTAAAATAAACCCACTAATACAAAAAGTTTTCCTCAAAATTTGTTTATAAATTGAAACTTCAATCTCTACCCAATCCCATGACTCCAACAGTAGCTCACCACTATACTGCATTTTACAAGATGAGATCATCAAGTGTTAATCCAAACAGCTGCACATGCACACACACTTTCAGACCAATGACAGAGTCTGACAAAGCAAAGGACCAAAAGTGTGTGCACAGTAACAGTTTCTGCACTGCACAGACACACAGTTAATTATGAGCACCCAAACATTCACCCCACTTGGTCTCTAGCACACTATTCTTATGCCCTCACAAGCGTGTCAGAACTCTTGGTTTGAACTGATAATGAATGCAAAAACTTTTCATACAGGCACTCAAGAGTTCTTCCCAACACTTTCTGCAGGTTGGCTTCTCCCCTGTTCTCCCTCAAGTCACTACATGCCATTTGCATGCCACTTGCATGCTACAGCCGGACCCCAATCTACCACAACCTATGACTACACCTCACATTACAGGCGAGAGGTCCTTGCAAAGCTCTGCATTACTGAGTGCATAAGGGGATCTCCAAATTCTCTCTCTGGTTAATATATATTGATCTGATTCAGTAAATTTCATGCATTTTTGAAAAATTGGGAGAAGCCTCTAGCACTACTGCAAGGAAAAAAATCAGGAAAATACAGAAACAATTTGGACCCAAGTTAACAAGTCAAATATGCCAACTACCTCTCCTGAAGCAAATGTGTATCATTAGGTAATTATACTTAAAAATTCATAAAATGAAGCAAAGACAAGCAAGCTATCTCCTATTTTATCTTCTTTGTGAATCCCAAAACAGTCACAACATGCACTTCCACAAATGAAAACCCAGCCAAAATGAGAGAGAACGTTATTACTGTCTCCACCACTTGCTGCCTACACCAGTTAAGGATCCCAACACCTTTCTCCGCATACAGAAGACAAGCTGCAAGAAACAGCATATTTATACGGAAGCACCAAAATGTACTCTGACTTTTCCTTTCAACTCTCCTTACCTCACTGAAAAGGCAGTTTACTCCCCCTCCCTATAAATCACGACTTTCATATACATAACCCAAGACAAAAATCTTCAGCATAAACATCCCGCATCCACTTGGAACATCCCCACTCATCCACACACCAGACAGTGGTGCAGGCAAATTTCAAGGCCTGCAAGTCCCCAACAGAAGCTGTATTGCCACGGCAGCTGTACGGCATAGTACAGCAAAGTGGATGCAGGCAGGCGTATTTTAATTCAAAAGGCTTACTTTAACATAAGCCAAATTTTTGTTAAATAAACACTGCCTCGGCATACTTGCAGCTCTAAAATAACAACCTGTGTTTTAAATAAAGAGAAATGATACAATAGATTTTATTTCCTGACCAACGGGTGGATTCTGAAGGTATTAAAGATCCTGTCACTCTCAGGCATACTTCAGGTTACTCCTCGGCTTCGTGTGCGCATCTGGGGCTTTGCAGTTCTCTACTCTTTCTACAATCTGAACGTAAGCCTCTTATCCCAGTTTACCTCATTAAATGAAAATCACAATAAAAAAAAATAGGACCAGCGACCCAACAACCTTCCCGGGGTTCACAGAACAATGCACATACTAAACCCGCCACCATCGATCTGTACAGCGACTCTCCTACGACTCCCTTCGCTAACCCGCATCCCTGCCACGGCTCCTCCAAACAACAACATCTAAGATTTCCCCCCCCCCCCCCGCTCTCCCCCATTCACCCGCCATCCCTCCCCACTCCATTTTGGAAGGCCGTTTCCAGCGCACACGAAGTCCCCCGGCCGCAACCGCTCGCCCCGCCGCCGGGCACACACGCCCCGCCGTGGCGGGGCCACGGCCTGCGGGTCCCCGCGGCGAAGGCGCCGAGCGCCCAGGGCTGCCCAGCCAGACCCGCCGCAGCCCCGGCCCCGCCACGGAACGTGCCGGCTGCAGGGAGCCCGGGGCGGCGGCGGCGATGCCGGGACTGCAGCCCCAGCGACACCCGGGGCGTGCCTGCCAGCGGCGGCCCTGGCCGAGCCGAGGCGGCCGGGCCGGGCTGATCCGGGTGACGGCAGCCCATACTCACCCAGCAGCAGTAGCTTCAGCTCCCGGCGGGCGTCCCGCTTGTCCCGACGCAGCTGTCTCTCGATCTCGTCGTTGATCCGCCGGGCTTCCTTGGCTTCCTCACTCAGGCAGCACGCCATGATGGACTCCAGAGTCATTCTTCCTAACTGGTTCAGACACAACCCCCACCCCCCTAAAATCGCACGCACGCTCTCACACACGCACCCCGCCGCCGCACCGGCCCTGGGGGCACAGGCGCTCTTTGCCCGGGAGTCCCGCCCGGCGCCTCAGGGTAAGCGGTAGGCAGCTGCCTCGGTACTACACAGCGGCGAAGAGGTAGGGCCGCTGGCGGCGCGGATCCCCGCTCCCTACCGCTGACACCCGCCGCTGCCAACTCCTCCTCTCCTCTAAATCATGCACAAAACATGGAAACATGCACCGCGGAGGCAGCAGCGATACCGAGCCGAGCCGCCCGCCACCGCCACCCCTCGCTCTCCGGTTCCCCTTCCCCCGCCGCCTGCAGCCGCCGCTCTCCCTGCGCGTTCCCTGGCAGTCGACACCCCCACTGCCGTCCGACGAGACCACCCCACCCCCGTGCAAACGCTATGCCCCGTCGATCCCACCCCTGACCCGCACACGCATCTCCCTGCCGCTCCCTGTGCCCCAGGGCGGGAGCACAGCTCCCGCCGGCTTTGCGAGCCCGCCGCTGCCCGCTGGGAAGCGCTTCCTCACAGCTGACGCTCCTTCCCGGCGCGGCGGCGGGGCGGGCGCTTCGCCCTGTGGCTGGGAGAGCTGCTGCTGGGGAGCTGCCAGAGAGTTGCCGTGGCTCGCTTCTTCCCTGCCAGTAATGCCGTGAGCTACGAAGAGTCCCGGAGGCCCGCCCGGGACGAAGGCAGCGCTCAGACACAGGCCCGGCGCTCCCGGCTTTTGAAGGGCTCAGCTCAGCGGGCGTGGTGAGGCAGGAACATGGCGGACCGCCTCTCCCACCGCCTCGCCCGCTCTGCCCCCGCACGCTGACGGGGTGGGGGGGGGAGGAGGCGAAGCGGCGAGGGGAGCTGGGCCTCCCAGCAGCCTAGAGCCGCCCTCACCCTCCCGGTGCGGAGCGCGGGTGGAGGGCGGGGGGGGGGTTGGAAGGAGGGGCTGGAAGTAGAGACCCGTTGGCTTCTCATACTAAATGGCCGCGAGGAAGGTTGCAGCGTCCGGCTCGAGCTGCGGGGCAGCGACTTCCCAAGCGCCCTTGTGGGCGTTCTCCTCACTCGGTTTCAGGCGCCGGAACGCGTTTTTATTCCGTGCCAGTCCTAGCGACTTGGCTTGGGTAGGCAGGGACGGAGAGAAGGGACCAGGAGGGAGAAGTCCCTTCTCCGCGGTTTCATGCCGCATCCCCGACGCCCTGCACGAGGGGCGCTGCCGCACGCCGGGGAAGCGAAGGCGCTGGCCGCAGGAGCGGCGGGAAGCGTCAGGGGCTGCCCGAGAGGCACCGACTCGCGTGGCGCCGGTTGTACTCCGATTGTGCTGCAGGCGCTGTTCAGCCGACCCTGATCGCGGCCGCCTCTTGTTCTGGTCCCAGAAGAGCTGTCCGTGTTTGTCGTTCAGAAAAAAAAACAAACACAGCAAACAAAACCTGATTAGGATGGCATACGGGAAAGATAACTTGCCTCCCGTAGCCCCCGAAATGGCGCGCACGCAGTCTGACGGGATGTATTGATGGAGGCAGCTTCCAGTTTCTGCGGATTCACAAAGGCCTCGCAGAATTCCCACACCTGTCCTTCCTTTGCCCACCTCCATATGAAACCGTTTGTATCTGGGAATGTTGCAGAATGTGCTGGAAAACTGGAACTAGCGTCTCTAGCAGCTAGAGGGGCATATTGTTCTCCATCTAACAGCGTGGAACGCTATGTCCTTCCCAGCACCTGTTGCCACCTGCTTCGAAATCCACCAGCGCTTTGCTAAAACTCTCCGTGTGTACTGACAATGTGAAATATATAAAGACTAGGAGGAAATTTAAAATGGAGAATAAAATAGGAAAATAACACGTTCAAAGAGTTTTTAGAGCATAAAAAAAGTCATGATTTCCACTTAGGTCTATACTGTATTAATTAGTATATTAATTAGTGTATAATAGTGTATAAAATCAGCTAGTACAACTTTGAATCTTTTTTATAATTATGTTTCTTTATTCCAGTAAATTAATACATGAGTTTTGGTTAAAATTGCACAAGTCTAGGTATTAATAATATTTCATTTGAAGCATCTTCTATATGAAGAATCACATCTCTTTTTCTCCACGTGTGTGTTGGTATACCTATGTATTTTTTTGTATACCTTGTGGTCCCACATGAATACATTATTTTTAAATCCAATGAAGATTTCTAAAGATTGAATTAGAAAATCTTATGTAAAATGTAACAAAAGGAGGGAAGCGGGTATTTCTTCATGAAATCAGTCCTCAACATACCACAATTTTCTTCCAAAGCTGGGGCTCAAAAGGGTGAGGATGGGTGCATGGTACAGGTCACAAGAGACATTCAGTGGACATTGTGCCCAGAACCCTGGTACAGGACTTCAAGTTTGCAGAAACCATCTTCAGGCATCATGTCTGAAGAAAGGGTCCAAATGGGTCGGTGAGTTTGCAGCCTTTGGGTGAACTGTATCAAAATCCACACCCAAACTGAGGGCATGTGTTTCTACTAAAGACTGCATACCTCACACAATGCTGTAGCATTCCCCAGTAGATGAGGTGTGACTCAACTTCTTAACCCTTTGATATGCTCAGTGTAGAAGTCACAAACACAGTGTATTCCAGAAATGCAGAACTGTCATTTAAATTTGCGTTTTTAATAAGAAAAGACACCCCAGGGACCATAAACTTAATCCATGTGTGCCACTCCCATTGACATAATTGGATTTTAAATCTCCAGTATCTCCAGATTTTTAATGGATGAGCCATCTAGTCCTGAACCTGGCATCGGCAGAGAGCCATTACACACTGCTTTACCCATTTGCTTTGTGACTTGGTGGAACTCAGAAGAGCCCCATTATGAAAAAATTACATAACAAACCTACAAGGAAATTTCTTTCCAACCCTCAACTCCATCATGGTTGGCTTTTATTTTGAAAAAAAAAAAAAAATGGAAGAGTCTTCATAAATATTTTATCCTAGTGAGAATTATCAGTAAATGACAGACCCTATTATTGCTCATACAGATAATTATTATCCATGAATACTATCCATGCTGTCACCTAATCCTAGACAGATACTTCCTGGTAAACCTCTCCTGTAGCATTAATAATCTCATATTCCTCTATCCAGGTAGTATCCAGCACATGGCTCAGAGCAACCTATTGCCTGTGGGACATTTTAACGTTGCTTACCAGCACAGTAAATTGAAAAGGGGGTTGATAGAGAGAGCAGATTATGGTACTGGATACCCTGCATCTCTGGTGCTCTTGCTCAGAGCCAGCAAAGATCGGGGGACCACTGTTTGTTCTTATTGTCTTCATATCACTCTTCGCATTGATCTATCCCAGGTTTTAATTTCTTCCTTCCACATGCCTGAAGATACTTATCAGCACTCTCCTCTGCCTCTTCTGCTTGAGCTAAGTTTTCTGTGATGTTCTGACAGATTCCAAACAGCTTCTGATGAAGTCAGTAGTTCTGTGACAGTGAAAGAGCAGACTGTGTATGGCTACATTGCAGGATTTTCAGTCAGCATTCCATCTCGAGCAATGGAATATCTTGTAAGCGTTTTTCAGTTGCCATTCTGCACTGGGAAGATGTTTTCACAGTACTCAAATACATCTCAGTCTTGTTTGTGAGTACTTACAGTTAATTTAGAGGTTGCCAGTATGCGCAAGCGGAGCAAATTATCCTTCCAGTGTGCCATTCTAATCGGCTTTTTGTTTGGTGGTGTTTTGTTTTTTTTTTTGAACAGCAAACAAATTGTATCTGCTGGTTCTCTACTGTTAAATGAATAGCATCCAGTAGCTGCAATTTCCTTCAAATGATCTGACCAGTTTGATCAAGTGTGTGCTGCTTTAACAAATCACAGTCTAAAAGTTATTTATTTTAAAGTGAAAGCAGTTTGCCTGAGGTACAGCGTATTCACTTTAGAAACCAGTCTGCCTGAGGTACAGCGTATTCATTTAAGAAACCTATCTGTTTGCTTGATTTATGAGAAATTTGAAAAGTGTATTGCCTTTTACCTACCGGCATGACGCGGTTTTATTGATTACTTATTTATGACAGAGCGCAATATTCTTTTATTCTTATATTGTTTTGTTCTTCAAAGGCTTCCTCGATGCCGCTGAGGCCAGCGGAGGGGTGATGTGAGCCGCAGGACGCGCAGCACCGCACGCAGCGTAACTCGGCCGCCTTCCCGCTGCTCTAACTCACACCTGCCGGCAGGTGCTGGCCACTGCCGCGCTTCTCGCCCCCTGGCGGCACGAGCGCGCGCTGCCCGGCTGCTGGCGGGCCCGCGCAGTCGCGGCGGGGCGCGGGGGGCCACGGCGGGCCGAGGAGCAGCGGGCTGGCGGTGGTGTTGCTGCCCCTTCGTGCTGCGGGGTGGAAATGGTCGTTTCCATCCTTCCCTCAGTCGGGCATCCCGGTGATGTCAGTATCGCTGCGTCTCGGCGCCCGTCCCAGGCGCGGTGAGGGCCGCCAACTCCCAGCGCGGCTCCTCTTCGCCTGGCTGCCCCGCCAGGCTCGGCCGCGTTAGTGGGTCTGTCCCGCCGCTCTCCCTTGCCACACAGCTCTTCTAGAACCACCACTCGGGGCGGGAGACGTTTGTCCGCGAAGCAGGACGCCGTGGCCTGCTGTTCGTCTCCGGGTATCTGTGCTGAGAAGTGGTAGGTTAAGCTCGGGGCTGGATGAAGTCTTGACCAGAGTATACTCTTCGTGGCTGGAGAGGGCAGGCAGGAACTGAAGGAGGGTGGAAGTGCCTTGGCAGCTGCAGGGACAGGAGTGACACCGAGGCCCCCTGCTAGGGGCTGTATGTGAGATGGCTTCTGGCTGCAGCGCACCTTGTCGGTGCGACATCCACTGTGCGCAGCTGGCCCTGGTGCTCAGAGTACAGGCAGGCGGGACAGAAGAGGCAGAGGAAGACCTTTTCCCGCCCCCCTCTCCCCGCCCCCCCCGTCACCTCCTAGCTCCCACCTGTGCGGTGCGCTGTTCTCCTCAGACCTCTCTTCTGGCAGCCCTGGCCCTCACAAGCTGATGTAACTGCTTAATTCTACATGGAGCCATTCCTGTTTCAATGTTTGGGACTTTTTTTCCTGAGTTTATGTGTCGCTAGGAACTACATCAGTTTCCCAGTGCTTCTGATGACCCTTCAAGCCTGCTCAAGGGAAACGGCCAGTAAGACAGGGTGGAGCAGGCCACCTTTTCCATAGCAATAAACCATGATTAGCTGCATTGGCCAGCTGTTGCCATACAGTCTGCACAACTCTGGTGGCACAGGCTCAAATATTCCAGCTCTGAAAAGAACCACTTGGCATAGGCATATGACACAAATTATATTATTAGCAGAGTATGAGTAGACATCACAGTATTACAGCAGCTCACTAAAGAGATATTGAAGTGGTCAACATGAACGCCTGCTATTGCTGTGATGATGTTTGTCACAGAATCATAGAATAGTTAGGGTTGGAAAGGACCTTAAGATCATCCAGTTCCAACCCCCCTGCCATGGGCAGGGACACCTCACACTAAACCATGTCACCCAAGGCTCTGTCCAACCTGGCTTTGAACACTGCTAGGGATGGAGCATTCACAACTTCCTTGGGCAACCGATTCCAGTGCCTCACCACCCTTACAGTAAAGAAGTTCTTCCTTATATCCAATCTAAACTTGCCCTGTTTAAGTTT